ATTAATATTCTTCTATCGGTGTTTAAATTATTAGTAATTGTCGCATTCTTTTTATTATATTATTATTACATGATGTTATAAATAATATAATAAAATTACTCATGAATAATTTTACAAAACAGTAGTTTTTAACAGTTTGCCAAAATTATTATTAACTAAGAACTCGCTGGCCGTAAATAATTTTTAATTTACACTATTAATTTTTTCGTACTACATATAATTACATAAATATCAATAATGGTTACGTACCACAATCATAGAAAGCAATGAGCTTAAAATTTTTTGAAGAACTTTCTCAAGACTTTACTCAACTCCTAGAAAATGAATATGATTATAATGTAGTACTTGAAGTTGGAGAACAACCCGATATTCAAATTTTTAAAGCACATTCAGCAATCTTATATCAACGTTCATTATACTTTCGACAAAAATTAGAGAATACGATCAAGAAAAACAATGTAATTGAAGTTAAATTACCTCATGTTTCTGTTAAAATATTTAATAATATCATTAAGTAAGTTATGTTAATAAGTAAGTTATATTATATAATTCTTTTATTTTGTTATGAAATACTGATAATTACATATTTATATGGTACTTATTATATAGATATATTTACGGCGGTATAGTTTTTTTAGAAAAATTTGAAGTTTCAACTATATTTGATTTCTTAGTTACTGCTAATGAATTTAAGCTTTTAGAATTAGTCAAACGTCTTCAATCTCATCTTATTGATAACAATGCATCTTGGCTTCGTTTAAATTTTTCTCGTGTTTATAAAATAAGTTTCCTTGAGGAAACCTTTGAACCTTTGCAACAATTTTGTAATAACATTATAGTAAAACATCCAAGTATGATATTTAATTCTGAAGATTTTACCACTATCCAAGAGAATTCTTTAATTTCTCTTTTAAAAAATGACGAATTACAAATGGAAGAAACTGAAATTTGGGATAAATTAATTTTTTGGGGAAAAGAGAAAACACCAAATCTACCACCAAACCTTAAAGAATGGACTGATGAAAATTTTAAGTCTTTAAGTATTACTCTTCAAAATTGCCTTCCTCACATTAGATATTTTCAAATTCCTGGTAAAGATATTTTTAAAAAAATTAAACCTTATCATAAAATTCTTGAAGAGAAAGTATGGGACGACATTCTTTTAAACTTTTTAGATCCAGGTACACCTATTAGTTCTTTAATTTTACCTCCTCGCAAAAAAGAAACAGTACAACTTCCTCTTCGAAAAACATCTATTATTACACCATCTTCTTCCATAATTACATTTCAACATGTAGCAGAGATTTCTTCATGGATTGATCGACGTTCAACAATTTATGATACCACTGAATTACCATATGAATTTAAACTTTTACTTAGGGGTAGTATGGACGGGTTTGAAGGTGAAACATTTCATAGGCTATGTGATAATATACCTGGTACTGTGGTTATTGTAAAGATTAATAAGACGAATGAAATACTTGGTGGTTATAATCCTCTTATTTGGAAAGTCAGTAGTAATTGGACGTCTTACGGTGAAACGGCTGATAGCTTTGTTTTCTCTTTAAAAAATGGAAACCTGAATGAATCTATTCTTAGTCGTGTAAGTGATCAATCCAGAGCAATTGGCTATGGCAATATATCAGAAGGTCCATCGTTCAGTTTTAATGATCTTGGAATGACCCAAACTAATCAAAAAATTAAAGCATGGTATTGTATTAAAGATTCATATAATAAACCAATCAGAAACGAAGGTGGTTATTTTTATGTAGATGAATATGAAGTATTTCAAATTTGTAAAAATATTTAATTACAGTACGCACTATCGCTATAAATTAAAGTTATAATTAATTAACACAAAATTAATGTATTAAAAATTTTATAAAAAAAACTCACTTTCATTGTAGTAAAGGCATTCGGACTATTATCAAAATTTATATTTGGCTTTGATTTTTATTGTACAAAAGTTTATTATGATGAAAGTGATATGTAGAATAATAACGGTAAATTGTATATTGCTCAAATTGTAATCAAACAAGTAACAATGGTTACCTTTTTTGATGTATAAAAGTCAACAAAACCTATAATTAAGAATTAATGATAGTTTCTATAAACTTCTCAGGTCCAAATAATTTATTGTGAAGCGCAGTATATAATATATAACTCAAAGTATTGTTTAATAATTCTCATTGTTATTATTAGTAATAAAATTAACTATCGGTATATAACATCATTTAAAGTACAACAAGCTAATTATATTGAGTAAAAGATAAAAGAAATTTTACTCTAGTGACACAATCATGATTAAAATAAAGTCTAATATATAGAAGTTATATCAGCTGAATTTCCTGAGATTCTTTATTGATTTGTCCATTAAAATCAATATTTATGGCTTAATGAAGAATTGAATTATGATACATTCTTTAGATGAAATATCACAATAAAAGTATTGCAAAAATGAAACGTACACGTTTTTTGAAATGTTTTTACCGTAAAAAAAATTCACAACAACGGTCAAGACATGTATCATCTGTCAAATATTCAATTGTTGGGGTGGATGATGATTTTGAAATGATTAGTTTAACTGAAAGTTTTAAAAGCTGTCGAATTGACGAAAGTAAATCTTCTGTATGTTAATATTTTGTTAATAAAATAAAAATTTATGACATTAAATTTTATTTACTACAATGTAGATTCACAAAATAGAGAAAAATTGTCCATCAGGAAACTAGGAATTCGTTCACTTGCACTCTTTATTTCTTTCAGAAAAGATGAAAATTATAATTTGGAATTTGATACTAAAGAATTTCATTTTTTTGGTTTTCATCCCGTCCATCATAATTTTTCCAAGTACAAAAATCAATCAGAATTATTGCATACGGCTGAATTCGTTCAAAATTGTGCATTGAATTGCTGGGCAAATGGGTGGAGGATTATCGTTATAATGCATTCGCATTTAAGGTGTTGCAAATTTATTTGTGAATTAATAAACCAAATCCGTAAATTTTGTGACAACCAAACTTTAGATATTGTGATTACTCAACCAAAGAATAAAAATGAGAAACTTGAAGCTAGAGAGAATAATGAGTATATTAGACAATTTAATGCAAACTTAGGTCCCACTGCTCTAATTGGTTTGCCTTCGGATGGGCTTTTCAATATTTTTGTAAGTTATACATTTGTTAATTTATCATTTATTAATATATTATACCAATATAGTTATACTAACATTATATCACTTTCATTAGTGTACACATGAAATTTATAAAGATGATGAAAATGGTATTCAGTTCTATGATAAAAAGGAGCCTTATTATGAATTCACTAATTTCTTCGAGACTCCTATCCAAATTGATAGTAAAAAATGGAAAAACTCTGAAAGTTACTGTTAAGTATCCATAAATATTATTATACTCATTTGCTAACCATATTCTAAATAAAATTAATGTTAGTAGTCCAAGCACAGAAGTTTAGGGAAGAATCACTTCAAAATAAAATTCGCTTTGCTTCAAATGCTCGTGAAGCGTTCATGATTGCTCGAAAAAATGATAATTTAAAGCGTAAAGATTGGGAATTATCAAAACAACCAACTGGCAAAATATTTAAAGAAAATGTAATGAAGAAAGCTATTCATGAAAAATTTTCTCAGAATAAAAATTTACGATATAAATTACTTTCTACAAGTAATGCGCCGTTGTTCGAACACACCGATAATGATTATTATTGGGGAGATGGGGGTAAGCAGGGCGGCGGACGTAATAGGCTTGGTGAAATTTTGCAGGAAGTCAGGGAAAGTTTAATGTTGGATGAAATTCGTAAGCTAGAAGAACATTATAATAGAAGAGGAAAGAGATGGATTATTGAAGATCTAGAAGTACTAAGTAAATTTGATTGAAACTTATGTATAAATACAGTATGTGTAATAAATATCATTCACTCAAGAAATCTGTACCTGGTTTTGCAAGCATCAATCATAAAATTTTGAAAACAAAGAAACCACGCTAATAAAAAAATCAATTTCGACTCTATTAAAAATCTTTGCATTTATTTATTATCGTTATCATATTCAATTTTTCTTAACATTGAACGATAACATTCTGATGAAAATTCTTTAAAAGAATTTTATGAAAATTTTTTCTTTTTTCAATTTTTTTTTATCGAATTTATGAATTCATAGAATTCTAGAAAAAAAAAAAGAAAAAATTTAAATTAAAAGTTATTGAAAATCTTACGTTTTAGAAAAATCGCTGTTTGTTCTAACTAAAAAAAAAAAAAAAAAGTTCTTGAACAATTTTACTTTGGTTATATTTAATTAACCTAGTATATACTAATAATATTAAAAACAGACTGTTTCAAGTGATTGACAGACAATACGTAACACAATATTTAGTCATGTGATTTCTTCGACCAATAAATATGTAGTACACATGTGTTTGACATTTATTACGACTTAAGTGAAGTAATGATCATACATGTTTATTTGAAAATTTTAAAACATAATAGTAGAAATGGCTAACAAGAACATAAAGAACATAGTAAAAATAGGCAAATTATGATTTATGTGCACCGGCAGGTCCCTACCATATAAGCATGAAGATCATTAATATTTTAATATATAAACCTTTCCACTTTGTTAACTGTTAATCATCCTTGCATCTCAACCTTTTCGAAATGGTAGCACTACCAAATGAGTGCCTTTTTGAAATATTTAGACATCTTCCTTTAGATATTTATTATAGAAAATATCTATTTTCTTGCCTTCTTGTAAATCGTCAGTGGTGTAGAAATGTTGTGCCAATATTATGGGAAGAAATATTACAATCGAAAATTAAGCCTGCACAAATGAAAATATACCTTTCATTGATAAATGTTGAAGAACAAGCATCATTAATCCCCTTTAAAATAATCCTTCCTAATATTCCAAAACCATTATTCAATTATGCCTCTTGCATTACAGGTCTTAAAACTTCTCATCTGAAAGCTGGAATAATGGAGTGGCTTCATAATGAGTTTAAGTTTAATAATGGAAACTCTGCAATTGTTGTTCAAGCTATCGCTTGTTCTTTAATCTCTATGTTCTTACGAACAAATAATAATCTCAAAGAATTAATAATTCCTGATGAATATGAACTTAACGCTTTTCCGCCAATTGCAACTTTCAAACACTACACTCGAGGATTATCTTTATTAATAAAATTAGATTTTATCTTTTATTCTCATAATTGTCCAAACACTATAGAATTTTTAAATTCTTTATCTACTACATGCTTCAATTTTAGACAAATTTATTTTTCATTTAAATCTAGTAATCCGAGTTATGAATTAATTACTTCATGTTCAAATTTAATTAAAGTTCAAAGAAAATTAAGATCTCTTAATATCAATCAAGCATTAAGAAATACTGAAAAATTATTTGTAGCTTTAGATCAAAAACCTTTTTTAAAGTGTCTTAAATTCAACTCTGTGGATTTTTCAACGATCTCACCTGAAGATATAAAAATGCTCTCTCAATGTAGAAATTTGATTTTATTGGAATTTGTGAATTGCAAAGGGATAACTTTGGATCATTGTACTACTTTATTGATTGATCCATTAATCAAGTTGAAGGAACTTAAACTTTTAAGTAAATATTTTGATCCACTCGTTGTCAATTCTTTGATTACTATGTGGGGTTCAAATTTAGAAACTTTATATATGAATCAGGTTAAAACGCTCGAATTATCAAATACTTTGATAAATTATTGTTCGAACCTTGAATATTTTCATGTTTATATTACAGATGGAGATGGAGATGTAGATGAATTCTTGTTACAATTTCTTAGTCAATCTTCTCTTCAACATTTTACTATGACAACATATTATTCCGATAATTTTTCTTATAAATTGGGACAAAATTTACCAATTACATTAAAATGTTTAGAATTAAAAAAATGTTCTTTAACTTCAGAAGGTTTTGATAAATTTTTAAAAAATTGTAGTCATTTGGTTAAATTAGAAAAACTTACCATTGGGAATAATCAACCAAAATTGGATCATTATATAAGTCTTAGAGAATTTATTAAATCTTGTAAAAGTTTAAAAGAAATTACTTTTTATTATTTATCTTTTTTTATAGAGGTTTCAATAGAGGAAAAGATTAAGGAAATCATTAAGGAAATTTCAAATTATGGTGTTGTTTGCAGATATTACGGTTATGAAAATAAGTCTGATGATTATTAATTTAGGGTATTTTCAAATTACTTATTATATTTAATAATGTAATCTCTGAAACTTTCTAAACATTCAAAATTACTTTTGTTTGAAATTATCTGCAATTAGTTTGATTTGTAAAATTAGGATTATCTGAGTGATTTATTACATCTACACTTTCATTTTCAGGCCAAATAAATATGTTATATAGACTAACATTTATTTATATTCTTCACATATGGGCGGAAATTTCTAATTTCTATGATTATTTAGATTGAACGATGTGATCTGATCAATGATCGTAAATCGCTTATGAGTTTTATATCCCTTTATGGATAGTGATCCGAACAGGCTAGCTAAAATAACCTAATAATCACAGCTCAACTGGAAATTACTATTATCGATCATCACGTGAGCGTAAGATTTGATTTTTTTTTTAGGGCTAGTTTAGAGTTAAGATAAGGTGGCGACATTTTTTACTAGTACTCCAAAAATAGGTTTAGACAACTGTTTTTTTGTATTACCGTATTCATTTTTTTGGCCTTTTGTTTCCCGTTAGAAATTCTTTAGCGAACCCCTTTTTTTTAGATAAACAGTTACACGACTATACATTGGCTGATTTGGGGCGACAATTTTTTGGCACTATTTAATGTAACGCAAGGTTACACGTATCTCGCATAATCTAACAAAATATTTTCACTAATCGTTATGGAAATTAATTCGGAAGTATGGCTTGAAAGAGCTATTCATGATGGACATATTAATTATCTTGAATATAGTAGATTTACAGATGGTATAGAGATTGGTAAAGGAGGTTTTGGATCGGTTTATAAATACGAATGGAAAGACACCAAACTAATAGTTGCTCTCAAGTGTCTTAATAAAGAAAGTTTAACCGATGACTTTGTTAAAGAGGTATTATTTATTGAAACTTGAATGCTATCAAATGTAATAAATGTAATAAATTATTTATAATTCATACCATAAAAGCTTAAATTATTACGTAAAGTTGATTACCATCCAAATATCATTAAATTCTATGGAGTTACTAAAGGTATAGATATCGTTCAATAATTTCTGAAAATATAAAACTTATACAGTAATTACTTATTAAAAATACTTGTTATAAACAGACAACAATGGATCTTATAATATGATTTTACAATATGCTGATGGTGGAAATTTACGAGAATACCTGAAAGAAAATTTTGAAACTTTGCAGTGGCCAGAAAAATTAAAGATTGCCGAGAATATAGCGCTTGGTCTTTTATTCTTACATGATCGTAATATTATTCATAGAGATTTGGTAAGTATATTATATAATATTTTATATTACATGTTTATTAATTTAATTCATCAATTCTCCAACAATTTAGCATTCGAAGAATATTTTAATTCATAGAAGAGAACCAAAGATTGCAGATTTTGGACTGTCAAAACAGATAAATGAGATATCTATGACTTCAAACTCAAGTCTTAATGGAATGCTGGCATACATTGAACCCCAATGTTTTGTTACCGAGAAATATAAACGTAATATGAAATCAGATGTTTATAGTTTTGGAGTAGTTCTCTGGGAAATTTCAAGCGGTAAACCACCATTTCAAAGCTTTGAAAAATTAACTGTGCTTACGTGTATACTTAAAGGAGAAAGAGAGAAAACTATTGAAGGGACACCTAGTCTATATGAAAAACTTTACAAGCAATGTTGGGACATGGAACCTACTAATCGTCCAACGGCAAGAGAAATTCACGAACGCATTACCAGTGAAGATTTTAGAACTTTAGAACTAATTAGTCAAAAAGATTCAAGTATCCAGGTTCAGAGTATACAAACACTAAAAGAGGTTCAGAAATATGACTTGAAAAAATCCCGGGGAGAAATGCTAAAACAAGAACAATTAAGTGAATTAAGTGAAATACAAAGTCAATTCTTTTCCGATATAGATGAAACTGAAGAATTCAAAGAAGCCCTGAATTTATATGTAAAGCCACAAGGAACGTGGAATGTGTCAATTATTAAATCCTTAGATAATGAAAAGGAAATGGTTTCCGAAGATAAAAAGGGTGATGTTGAAAAAGTGGTTAATGGCTTTTTAGGATCAAAAGATAGACTCTCCTCATATGATAAAGAGATTCTAGAGAAAGCAGCAAACGAACTTTTGAATTCAAAAGATAAAACATCCTTAATAAATACAGTTAACGGCTTTTTTGCACAAGAAAATCGATTAACTTTAGAAGATGAAAAGGTTCTGAACATGGCAGCAAATCAATTTTTAAATTTAAATTCTAAGAATACATTAAAAATTATAGAGATAATAATCAACGAATTTTTGGATTCTCCGAAAACAGAATCACTAACAAAAGCAATTAATAATTATTTAAATAATCCTAATGCAATCAATAACTTTACAATTAATCCGAATCGAATAATAATCAATAACTTTACGAAGGATCCGAATAGAATAATTATACATGAAGAAAATGTAAAATTTCTTGAACTGGAATCAAGGAACTATCTAGTATCTAAAGATAAAGAAAAATTTAAAAATGCGGTTAGTAAATTGATGGATTTAAAATCTAAAAATTTTTTAGAAATAGCAGTTAATAACATCCTGGCTTCGAAGTGTAAAAAAGTACTATTGATATTAGGTGTAGGGGGCACGGGTAAATCGACTTTTAACCGTTATCTTGCTCGTCGCCTATGGAATGAACATGATCAATCGAATATGACGCAGCCAATTCCTTTATTTATTGCATTGGCGCAATTGAAAGAAGGAATGCTAAACCGAAATCAGGACTTTATCGAAATTTATTTAAAAGAATGTGGTTTATCCTTGGACACAATTAAAGTTTTACGTGAAAGAAAGTTTGTATTTATTTTAGATGGATATGATGAAATTTCTGAACGTGAACGTCACTGCTACGAAAGCAATAAATTTAATAAATGGAAAAATTCGAAAGTTATCATCAGTTGCCGACCAGAATATTTAGGTTCAGGATATAAAAATAAGTTCTTACCAAAAAATGGTGAAAGAGGATTTCAGGAATTGACGATCACACCATTTTCTCAGACTGAAATAGAACAGTACATAAAAAATTATACTCAAAATAAAGGACATTTATTGGATTGGGACGCAGATACGTATATACAGCAAATAAAGAATATTCAAATAGAAAAGATAGTCATTAATCCCATTTTGTTAAAGATTACCCTGATTGTCTTACCAGACCTTGTTAATGAATATGTAACAATAGACCGCCAAATAAATCGTATAGTTTTATATGAAAAATTTTTTGAAACATGGTTTAGCCGTGCACAAAATCGCCTGTTAAAAATTCAACTTAAAGATAAGGAAAAAGAAGCATTTAATAACTTAGATTCAGAAGATTTTTTAAAATATTGTCTAAAATTTAGTAAAGATTTCGCTGTCAAAATGTTTGAAGATAATAATAAAGTGGTCATAGACTATGATCCAGTAAGTGAGGAAATTAAATCGAATTGGTCAAGCTTTTTCAGCAATGAAGATACAAAGCACTGTTTGCTACGCTTTAGCATGCCATTAATCCGACGTGGGAACCAATATTGGTTTCTTCATAAAACCTTGCGAGATTATCTAATTGCTAGTGTATTTCTGGAATCGTGCAAATCTACATTACATACTGCACTCTTTAATAAGCATTTACTTGTGTCAGAACATGATGTCCGACAATTTTTGGTTGAATTTATCCAACAAAAAGAGACTTATATACAAAAATTATTATCTATAATTAATAGCTCTAAAAATGATGATAAGGTTCAAATTGCTTCTGCTAATGCTAGTACAATTCTAATACAGGCTGGTGTAACATTGAAAAATTTAAACTTAACTGATAGTAATATTTCAGGAGCAGATTTGAGCAATGGAGTATTCGACAATTTGCAACTAGCAAGGTCCAAGTTAAATAATGTGAATTTTCAAAATGCAAGGCTTCAAAATACAAATCTCCAAAATTCTTCTCTCCAAAATGCAAATTTTAAAGGCGCAGATCTCTCGTCTGCAAACCTTCAGAATGCGATTCTTCATTATGCGGATTTCCAAAATGCAAAGCTTTTAAATGCAAATCTCCAAAGCACTTCTTCACAAAATGCGAATTTTGAAGATGCAAATTTTTCGTCTGCAAACTTTCAAAATGCGATTTTTAATAATGCAAATTTCCAAAATGCAACTTTTAATAGTGCAGACTTTCAAAATACAATTCTTAATAATGCGAATTTTCAAAATGCAAAGCTTATAAATACAAATCTCCAAAACTCTTTTTCTCAAAATGCAAATTTTAAAGGCGCAGATCTCTCATTTGCAAATTTTCATAATGCTATTATTCAAGATGCAATTTTTCATAACTCATGTCTTAATAATGTAAATTTTGAAGCTGCGTTTCTCAGAAGCATCAATGTAAATCTTCGTACATATCTTCAAGGCACAAATCTTCAAAACTTTAGTCTCCAATACAAGGTTCACGTATTTGTAAATCTTCAAGACATAAATCTCAGAGGTACGAGTTTTAAAGGTTTGAATCAGCAGATTATATTAGTGCTTCGATTCTATTCTTTAGAGGCCATTCGGATTAAATTCGATAATCCGAATCCGAATAGGTCCAGATTTAATTATTAAATCCGAATTTTGTCTATTATTGATAATATGCTTTGCTAGCTTAATTATCCGTAGGCTACGAGAACTATTTCACGTGGGGTCTATATCATTTCCCCAAGATTTTTTTTTTCGACAATTATTTCATCGACCTAATAAGCTTTATTACTAATCAACGCCAGACTTTAAATGTCACTCTAGTGATGTCGGGGAAATGATATGGATCCAATTTTTCTAAGATCACTACACTTTCAATAAGGGCAATATATTTATTATCGGTTGCTGATTCAAATCGACCAATTGCAAGGATTATGATCCGAATAATCCTTATCCTGATCCGTTATGTATTAAGGATCTATCCGTTTAAAATCAAAGGATAATGATATCCGCGTTCAATCCGAATTATCGGATCAATCCGAATTGGTCGGATTACGGATCGAAGCACTAGATTATATTTATTCAACTTACTAGCACTTTTAATTGCCAATAATATTAGCAGATATGAATAATTCTAATGGACTATTAATTCTTGGTTATTGTTATGAACATGGAATTGATATTAAGATGGATAAGAATAAGGCATTCACATACTATCAAAAATCAGCAGATATGAATAATTCCTATGGGATATATCAAGTTTGCCAATGTTATCTTCAAGGAATTGGAGTTAAAAAGGATGACTATCAGGCATTTATTTGGTATAAAAAATTAGCAGATAAGGGATATTCTAACGGAATAAATTACGTTGGCTATTGTTATGAACATGGAATTGGTGTAGGAAAGGATGAGAATAAGGCATTCACAAACTATCAAAAATCTGCAGAATTGAATAATTCTGACGGAATGTTTCAAGTTGGCTTTTGTTATTATAATGGAATTGGAGTTAAAATGGATAAACACGAAGCATTTGAGCATTACTTAAAATCAGCTAAAATAAACAATTATAACGGAATCTTTAAAACCGCCATTTGCTACCGTTACGGAATTGGTGTGGAACAAAATGAATTTGAATTTTGTGAATGGATTAAAAAGTAAGTTAATATTAATTAATCTTCGGTAATTTTTCATTAAAAATTAGAAATATACTTATATAATATAATTTTAATTATCAGGGAGTAAGCTAAGAAAGAATATAAATTAATCTATTTATTAAAATCTGAAAATTTTAAGATCATAAATCTTTATTTTATTATTAGCCCGTGAGTATAAAGATGATTTATTAACGTTAATCAACAGAATTAATCTATAATCATAAATACTTACTGATATCTCTAAAATACTTATTTACAACCTAATACCTTTCAAATAGTATGTGAGTATAAAGATGATTTATTATTAACGTTAATTAGTGGAATTAAAACCATAAATATTTATATCTGAATACTAATTTATAATTAATTACCAAATACCTTTCAAATCATTTCATTTGCATTAATTTAGTCTGTGAGTATGAACATATTATTACAATATTAACGTAATCCTGTAATCATTGAGTTAAATCATGACATAAATACTTATTCATAAATACTTATCTCTAAATACTTATTTACAATTAATTACCTAATGACCTTCAAATAGTGCGTGAGTATAAAGGTTATTTATTAACGTTAATCAGTATACTTATTTCATAAATATTTATCTCCAAATTCTTATTTACAATTATCTAATACTCTTCAAACCATTTCATTCGCATTAATTTAGTGAGTAAGTATAAAGATGATTTATTAGTTGGTTTAATTCAAATCAGTAATTCATAAATACTTATTTACAATTGATTACCTAATACCCTTCAAATCATTTCATTCGCATTAATTTAGTTGGTGAGTACAAAGATGATTTATTAATCGGTGTAATTCAAATCAGTAATTCATGAACATAAATACTTATTATTCATAAATACTTATCTCTAAATATTTATTTACAATTGATTACCTAATACCTTTCAAATCATTTCAATCAGTCTGTGAGTATAAAGATGATTTATTAATCGGTGTAATTCAAATCAGCAATTCATGAACATAAATACTTATTTACAATTAATTACCTAATACCCTTCAAATCAGCGAGTGAGTATAAGGATAATTTATTAATCGGTGTAATTCAAATCAGCAATAAATACTTATTCATAAATACTTATCTCTAATACTTATTTATAATCAATTACCTTATACTCTTCAAATCAGCGAGTGAGTATAAAGATAATTTATTAATCGGTGTAATTCAAATCATCAATTCATAAATACTTATCTCTAAATACTTATTTACAATTAATTACCTAATACCCTTCAAATCAGCGAGTGAGTATGAAGATGATTTATTAATCGGTGTAATTCAAATCAGTAATTCATGAACATAAATACTTATTCATAAATACTTATCTCTAAATACTTAATTAAAATTACCTAATACCCTTCAAATCATTTCAATCAGTTTGTGAGTATAAAGATGATTTATTAAATGGTGTAATTTAAATCAGCAATTCATGAACATAAATACTTATTCGTAAATACTTATCTCTAAATACTTATTTACAATTGATTACCTAATACCCTTCAAATCATTTCAATCAGTCTGTGAGTTTAAAGATGATTTATTAATCGGTGTAATTCAAATCAACAATTAATGAACATAAATACTTATTCATAAATACTTATCTCTAAACACTTAATTACCTAATACTCTTCAAATTATTTCATCGCATTAATTTAGTCGGTAAGTATAAAGATGATTTATTAATCGGTGTAATTCAATCAGCAATTCATGAACATAAATACTTATCTCTAAATACATATTTACAATTAATTACCTATATTCTTCAATCAGTCTGTGAGTATAAAGGTGATTTATTATTCGGTGTAATTCAAATCAGCAATTCATAAACATAAATACTTATTCATAAATACTTATTACTAAATACTTACTTACAATTAATTACTTAATACCCTTCAAATCAGCGAGTGAGTATGAAGATGATTTATTAATCGTAGTTCAAATCAGTAATTCATGAACATAAATACTTATTCATAAATACTTATCTCTAAATACTTAATTATAATTAATTACCTAATACCTTCAAATAATTTCAATCAGTTTGTGAGTATAAAGATGATTTATTAATCGGTGTAATTCAAATCAACAATTCATGAACATAAATACTTATTCATAAATACTTATCTCTAAATACTTAATTACCTAATACTCTTCAAATTATTTTATCGTATTAATTTAGTCGGTAAGTATAAAGATGATTTATTAATCGGTGTAATTCAAATCAGTAATTCATGAACATAAATACTTATCTCTAAATACATATTTACAATTAATTACCTATATTCTTCAAATAATTTCATCAGTCTGTGAGTATAAAGATGATTTATTAATCGGTATAATTCAAATCAGCAATTCATAAGCATAAATACTTATTCATAAATACTTATCTCTAAATACTTATTTACAATTAATTACCTAATACCCTTTAAATTAGCGAGTGAGTATAAAGATGATTTATTATTCGGTGTAATTCAAATCAGTAATTCATAAACATAAAGACTTATTTATAAATACTTGTCTCTAAATATTTATTTACAATTAATTACCTAATACCCTTTAAATCAGCGAGTGAGTATAAAGATGATTTATTAATCGGTGTAATTCAAGTCAGCAATTCATAAATACTTATCTCTAAATACCTATTTACAATTAATTACCTAATACCCTTCAAATCAGCGAGTGAGTATAAAGATAATTTATAAATCGTTCAGCAATTCATGAACATAAATACTTATTTACAATTAATTACCTAATACCCTTCAAATCATTTCATTCGCATTAATTTAGTGGGTGAGTATAAAGATGGTTTACTAATCGGTGTAATTCAAATCAGCAATTAATGAACATAAATACTTATTCATAAATACTTATTTACAATTAATTGCTAATACCCTTCAAATCATTTCAATCAGTTTGTGAGTATAAAGATGATTTATTAATTGGTGTAATTCAAATCAGTAATTCATGAACATAAATACTTATTTATAAATACTTATCTATAAATACTTATTTACAATTAATTACCTAATATCCTTTAAATCAGCGAGTGAGTATAAAGATGATTTATTAATCGGTGTAATTCAAATCAGCAATTCATGAACATAAATACTTATTTATAAATACTTGTCTCAAATACTAATTTATAATTAATTACCAAATACCTTTCAAATCATTTCATTTGCATTAATTTAGTCTGTGAGTATGAACATATTATTACAATATTAACGTAATCCTGTAATCATTGAGTTAAATCATGACATAAATACTTATTCATAAATACTTATCTCTAAATACTTATTTACAATTAATTACCTAATGACCTTCAAATAGTGCGTGAGTATAAAGGTTATTTATTAACGTTAATCAGTATACTTATTTCATAAATATTTATCTCCA